GTCTCTGGATTAACAGTCCAGCGATAATACCACTAGGCCATCGCCACCCCATGAATATGGATGCAATGTTCTTTACCTTTTGTGAAAATTAAGAGTAAAACTTACTTACTGGTATAATTCGAACACCCCTGCCTTTTTGGGCAAGATTTTATTAAATGATTTATAATGTATGTGGTACAATTAACATTGTATATTGTTCTGTACGCCTCTCTGCCGCGGAGGGGTAGGGCCATTGAATATTTGTATAGCAGAGGTAGATAGATTCCTGACCAATAAGGGAATCAAAGGGTATCAGAGGTAGGCAGAAATGTAGAGTTGTGGCCACAATCAGACTAGCCATGGGCTTACCGAGTGGTGGTACAGGCTCAGGAGATGGATTGTTTTCTGCTTGCTCTTAGTTTATACGTTTGTTTGTCAATTCTGACATTTTGCTGTCTGAAACCGTCTCCCAACTACATGTTCTCTCAAGTTTAGCTTATTCAAAATTACATTGGCTCCAAGTTCCTTGATGCCTAAACTTCAGAACTCTCATCTTGTGTATATAGCCCTTGATGATTTCATCTCCCCTTGTCTTTAGTCCAGTCTTTCACCCTTTCAGTTCCTCAGGCCTGCTTTGGAAGTTCTTTCCTTCGCTTTACCATTATGTCTATGCCTTTTGGCACAATGTTTTAGAATTCCCGCCTTGAGCCTTCTGCCTCATTGGATACATCTCTTGTTTTAGACTTTACTTAAAACCCATGTTTTTGACCAAGCTTATTGTCACATTTGTTGATGATTGTGTCTCTGTGAAGACACTTGGGATGATTGACATTAAAGATTGATATCACTCAGAAGCAAAAATAAGTCAGGAAAGTGAACCAAGGGGAGAGTCGAGGCAAGGAGATTAAGGGGTGGTGGCGCTGGTGGGAAAGGCTGAGGGGAGGGCTGAGACGGAAGTCAGGTCTGGTTGGATCAAGCCAATAATGGACTGTGAGTCATGAGACCACAATGCCATAAACAGATTTGTGCTATTTTGAAACATGTCATATTGGACTTCCACTGTAGAATACATACACATCATTGGAGTTCTATGGAACTTGCAATGCAAAACAGACCAGTAATTGACACAAGAGATAACAAGGTGTAGAGCTGGATGAACACAGCAGGCCAAGCAGCATCACAGGAGCAGGAAAGCTGACGTTTCGGGTCTGGACCCTTCTTCAGAAATTGACACAGACCAGTTGGAATGTTCTTGCTCAGCATAAGCTCTCCTGACCCCTTTTAGGTTATCTCTATCAGCATATCCTTCTGTATCTTTTCTCTGCTGCCCTTATTTAACTTCCCCTTAATTGCATCTGCGGTTATTCATCTCAACTCCTGCTGTGGTGGGCAAGTTCTGCATATTTACCACTCTTTTGCCGATGTTGAAGTTTTGTCCAAACTCCACATAACATTTACTGATGACTGTATTTTATAGTCCCTAGTTTTGCCCTTGTGGGGCAACCTTGAACAAGAGGTAATAGCTTTAGGATAAGGGATAGCAGATTTAAAACAGATGAGGAGAAATTACTTCCCTCAAAGGGTTATGGATCTGTGGAATTCACTACCCCAGAGTGCGATGGATGGCATGACATTGATTAATTTAAGGAGGAGATATTACTAATTAAAAATTTATCTGTGTTGAAGGATTATGGAGAGCAACAAGAAAGTTGGAGTTGAGGCTGAGATGAAATCAGCCATGATTGTATTGATGTGAAGCAGGCTCAAGGGTCTAAATTGCCCACTTCGGTTCCTGGATCTTTATGTTATGTTTCAGTTTCCCTTCCTTGTGAATTAATCTCTATATCTAACCTATCTGACCCTTAACCTTAATGTTAACAACCTCCATCATCCCTTATTGATAACTTTTCTAGGTTTAAAAAAAAGCCTCAGTTTGTTTAATGTTAAAAGAAACTTCAACTACATCTATTTTGTATTTTCTTAGCATCCATATATAATATGGAGATCAGAACTGTTCAAGCCTGCTATGCTCATAATTTCTGCCTCAGCTCACTAATTGACAATTTTATTTCTGCCTTAAACAGGAACTATTAAACAAGAAACCAGATTTCTCATGTACATTGTGTTAGTTATGTAGCATATGTAGATGGTTAGAAAAAAAGGTACATTTTTGGTGTATGTGTTATGATAATGTTAGTTGCATAGTTTAACTTTGTTATTTATGATTAATATAAAACATTCAAGATAAACAGGTTGACCTGGGAATAATTTTAAACAAGTCTGGTCTCTCTTCTGAGCAGGATTTAACTACTGCTTAGAACTGGGTATACCATGAGTCTTTTTTCACTTAACTGGAATTAAAATGATATACTTATATTGTGTTTTTAAAAACTATTCAAAAATTAATTTTAGTTAATTTTAATGTTGTGTTATATGGTTCTATTTATAGGTAGCTACTATCGCAGAAACAGATGAATCTGGTGATTCTGCTGAGGTTGTGACTGACTCTCAAAAACGGAGAGAAATTCTATCCAGGCGACCTTCCTACAGGTTTCTACTACATTGTGCATATTTTACTTCTCCCTGTAGTTTATGATGGCATCTGGCTGGATCAGATTTTTCTAAATACTATAGACTGTAGAATGTAAATATAGCATTTTACTTGTATGTTGAATGAAACCAAACAATTTAATTTCTTCTCTAACTGACCTCAAATTTCTTTTTAGAGAAAATATACTTCTACACCAAACAAACGCTTTCCAGTTCAAAGAATTAATTCAGTCTTTCGCTGAGCAGTCTGAGCTTTGTTTTGTTGCATGCTGACTTTTTCTCATCTCCTAATTTTTGAAAAAAAACTGAACCAATATAAAAATAGAAGCAATGCATAGCTTGTATAGTCAGCTTGTATTATCCTTAGATACTGCACTGCTAACTTGAATGACAACACCTTGTATTTAAATAGTGTCTTTGTAATACTATTACAAAGTATTAGTATTTGTGTAATACTAATACTTTGTATTATACAAGTAATATAATTGTATATTGTATTACACAAGAGAATTTCACAAGAGAATTATCAAACAAGGTTTGACAGTAAATCAGATAACATATTAGGATAGGTGGCAATAATCTTGGTCAAAGAACTAAGTTTTAAGGAGCTCCTTGAAGGAAGAAGAGCAACGTACAAGGTAGAGAGAACTTTCGGGAGAAAAATCTAGATCTTCTAGGCAGTTGAAGGGATAGCTGTCAATTGGTGGAGCAATTTAAAATTGAAATGGAGAAGAAGCCAGAGGATTGAAAGGATCTCTGAGGATTTTTGCACTGGATTAAGTTATAAAATTGGAGAAGCACAAACTAATGAAGAGATTTTAAAAAGAGGATGAGAGTTTTAAAGTTGATTGACAGCAATATGGGCCAGTGATGGGGTGGTTATTGAGCACCATATTGGCTTGGGTTGATGCAAGTGAAACATAAGAGGAGGCCAAGTACATATCTTTAGAGTGCTTCAGAGTTAACAGTGCAGAAGCTGAAGCCAACGTGGGTGAAAACTGGTGGTTGACTGAAATTTTCAAATCATACAGTTGACTTAAGTTGCAATAAATCATTTTGGCACAAAAGGTGGGAATTGCATTTTGAAGAAGATGTTATGACCCCGTTATCTACACTGGTATTTATTTCATGATGTATTATTTCAGTGTGAAATTAAGTTTCTTGTTGTTATATTACTGTTCTTGGTTCTCTATACATTCTTGTTATCTAATAGTTTGGGACATTAACCTTTGGACAGCTTTCTAATGCAGATAGTTACATATTCTGCATAAACATGAAATAAGTCGTTCTTTTTCATGTGATGTGGGTGTTGCTGACCAGGGTTGTATCTATTGCTCATCTCTAATTACCCTTCAGAAAGTGGAATTGTGATACACCTTCTTGAACTGCTGCAATTTTTGGGGTGCAGATACTCTCCACTCCTGTTAAGGAGGGAGTTCTAGGATTTTGGAACAGCAATATAGTTCCAAGCCCAGATATTATGTGGCTTGGAGGGGAATTTGCTGGTGGTGGTGTTTGAATGAATCTGTAACCCCTTGTCCATCAGACACAGTATGTTCCTGTTAGTGTGAAGGGCAAGGCTGTTAGATGTCGGGAATGCTGAATTACTAGAGAAATTGAGGCTCTGGTAAAAAAAAAAGGCATATATCAGGTATAGACAGCTGGGAATCGAATGAATTCCTAGAGAAGTATGGGGCAGTAGGAGTATAGTTAACAGGGAAACTAGGAGGGAAAAAAGCAACTTGACACAGCTTTGGCAAAGAGTTAAGGAGAATCCAAAGAAATTCTATAAGTACAATAAGGGCAAAAGAGTAATGAGGGAGAGAATAGTGCCCCTTAATAATCAACGTGGTCATTTATGTGTGGAACCACAGGACATTGGTGAGGTATTAAACAAATATTTTAAAAAATTAAAACAAAAGACTGGACTGACTGGTCTTGTACTCATTGGAATTCAGAAGAATGAGGGCGTATCTCATAGAAATGTATAAAATCCTGATGGAACTGGACAGGCTATATGTGGGAAGAATGTTCTCGATGTTGGGGAAGCCCGGAACTAGGAGTCACAGTCTGAGAATAAGGGGTAAGCTGTTCAGGACTGAGATGAAGAAGAATTTCTTCACTCAAAGAGTTGTGAACCTGTGGAACTCTCTACCACAGAAAGCTGTCGGGGCCAGTTGTTAGATATATTCAAGAGGGAGCTGGTCTTTGCCTTTGTGACTAAAGGGATCAAGGAATATGGAGAGAAAGCGGAAATCAGATACTGAAATTGCATGATCAGCCATGACCATATTGAATGGTGGTGCAGGCTTGAAGGGCCGAATGGCCTATTCCTATACCTATTTCCTATGTGTTTCTATGTCCTTCTAGGTGGTCGAGGCACAGTTTTGAAAAGTGTTGTCAAAGGAGCCATGGTGAGTTGTTTAATGCATGTTGTGGTTGGCACAGACTGCGATCATTGTGAAGGTAATGAATATTGAAGATGGTGGTTGAGATACTAGTCCAGTGGGTTTCTTTGTTCTTGGATGATGTTGAGCTTCTGGAGTTTTGGTGAAGCACACCCAAATGGACAAGTGGGGAGAATTCCATCACGTTCCCCATTTGTGCATTTTAGATGGTGGACAGACACTGGGAAGTCAGAATGTGAGTTATTCGCTGTAGCATTTCCAGCCTCTGACCTGCTTTTGTAAGGCACAGTATATAAATGGCTAGTCCAGTTCAGTTTCTAATCAGTGGCAACCCCACTCCCCCCGTCCCTGATGTTCATAGTAGGGGACTAAGCAAAAGTAATATCATTGAACATCAAAGAGTGATGGATAGATTTCTCTGTTGTTGAAGATGGTCATTGCTTAGCATTTGTGTGGCACAAATTTTACTGGCCACTTGTCAGCCGACACCTAGATATTGTCCATGTCCACTGTATTTGGACGTGGACTGCTTTAACATCTGAGGAGTTGTTAATGGAGTTGAACGTTGTGCAAGCATTAGCAAACATTCCCACGTCTAACCTGATGATATAAGGAAGGTCATAGCTGAAGCATCTGAAGATGGTTGGGCCTAGGACTCCAACATGGGAACTTGTGCAATGATGTACCGGTACTTCCAACAACTACAACTGTCTTCTTTGTGCTTTGCTTTGTGTCATCCTGTGGACTCTTTTGTTTAACATGTGAATGATGAAATGTTTTTTTCTAGTCCACATAAAACAGTTGGGCCAATTTAAGAACAATTTCTGAGAGTCTATCAAAAAAAAAAGCTGAAGTTGTCAGTGAAAACAAGTCCAGGGCGATGACATCTCTGTGTTAGATTTGATTTGATGTTAAAACTGTTGCAAAAGGGAGTTAGTTTACATAGTGGGTTAGATCCTGTCCTTTCATTTCTGGAACATATGAAATTGATGCATGAGATGAAAAGAGAAACACATAAATGTAGCAAGATATGCAGTTCCAAAATTAGATCTGAGGTGTTTTGTTCAGGCAGAACATAGAACGTAGAACAGTACAGCACAGTACAGTACAGGCCCTTTGGCCCACGATGTTGTGCCAAACTTTTACCCTAAACCTAAGGTCTGTCTCACCTCCACCCCTAACTAATACTATCATCCATATGCCTAGCTAATAGCCGCTTAAATGCCCCTAATGAGGCCGACTCCACTACCCTCTCCGGCAATGCATTTCACACCCCTATCGCTCTCTGAGTAAAGAACCTACCTCTGATGTCTCCCCTATATCTACCTCCACTCACTTTAAATCTATGTCCCCTCGTAAAAGCTACCTCCACCCTTGGAAAAAGTCTCTGGTTGTCCACTCTATCTATACATCTGATCATTTTGTACACTTTTGCAGAGTAATGGAGCATTTATTTATACAGCTGTCCTACCCAGCTTAGAAGTATTTATTGCTAATACTGCATGTGTGAACATCTTCACTCTTCATTCTCATGAAAATATCTTCATCAGTGCATCCTCTCATACTTTACTCTTCAAGTGGCTTCTAAGAATATAACAAATAGGAATGAGGAGTAGGCCATTGAGCCCCTCAAGCCTGCTTCACCATTCATCCTGATCTGATCCTTTTTTTGGTTGGGATTCTGTCCTAGGCTTCAACTCCAGTTTTGTGCCAGCACAATCAAGCCGTCAAATCCCTGATTTTTCAAAAATCTCTTTACGTCCTGTTCTTTGCTTTCAGTTATCTAGCCTCCACAGCTCTCTCAGATAGAGAATTACAGACATTCAGTACCACTAGGAAAAGAGATTCCTTTGCATTCTCAGTTTTAAATGACTGCTACCTATTCTATGACTATGTCCCCTAGTTAGAGATTCCCTCTGTAGGGAAAACCACTTTTCAACGTCTACCCTGTCAAACCCCTTCAGAACCTTGTATGTTTCACTAAGCCTACTCTTCATCTTTCTAAACTCTAATTTAAAAAGCGTAATAAGTTTAGCTGTTTTTTGATATGTCACCCCATTCATTCCCAGGAATTAGCTCAGTGAATTTCTTGAACTGCCTGCAAAGCAGGTTCCTTTTTTAAATACAAGAACCAAAACTGTAGACAGTACTCCAAGTGTGGCCTCACCCAACACCCTGTACATATGCAACGAGACTTCCCTGTTTTTAAACTCCAATCCCCTAGCGTTAAAGGCCAAAATTCCATTTACCTTAATTAATTGCTGCATCTGTATGCTAACAATTTGTGTTCCATGTGCAAGAACACCCAGATCCCTCTACGCTGTATTTTTTTAAAGCCCCTCTCAATTTAAATAATAGTCTGCCTTTTGATTCGTCCTACCAAAGTGTGAGACTTCATAGATGGCTACGTTAAACTCTACCTGTCAAGTTTTTACCCAGTCACTCAACCTATCTATATCCCTTTGGAGATTCTTTATGTCCTCATCACTACATGCCCCAACCCCCACCTATCTTTGTATCGTTAGAAAATTTGGATACATTACACTCTTTCCCCTTCCACCAAGTCATTAATATAAATGGTAAATGATCTTT